CAGTGTATGACTAGAGGGAAGGCAACTAGTCATCACCACCCACTCTTTTACCAACGACTAGTGGGATTGATTGTAACGTTATAACGCCCCCACAGCGCCCTAACCACCTGGTCATGCCGTACTGTAATGTGAAAAAACATTTTCAGGGATTAAGTGGTAATGCCGTCCTGTAATGTTACAACGGATTCACAGTTCGGGCACGCTAACTACTAAGCCACGCTCGGCCCTAAATCAGAAATAAATAATGGTAATAGAACACCCGAATTTCCGTTGATTTAATTAACCTTCCCTTACTACGTATACTAGAATCAAGAGACAATGATGGTTTTAGACATTTAGGAAAACTACAATTAAAGCTAGGCCTAAGTGATGAAATATTAATGTAAACCGATGATAGTTAACGTTACAAAGTCATGCTCACCATGGGTATTAAAACCCGGATTTTAGACTTCAGACCTTCTGCTGAGCGAATGACGGAGTCTAGCTTTTAGAAGTGTTTAGTATTTGGATATGTTTGTTGGCCTTCTCAGTAGATGGCAGCACAATATGTATAAAGTACTTCTATAAACAGTGTACAACAGTACAAAATAATTATAAGCGTTTAGAACAACACATATTTAGAGTTTAACATGTCGTATCTTTTACTTAACTATATCTTAGTTAGCGTACTGCTTAATTTAAGCTGTTTTGTTGTTTTAAAGCTTTAATGTCGTTTTCCTATTTGTACTATTTGTAACTATTTGTGTAATTTCATTTTTTCAATAACAAGTTTACAAAATTAATTATTAATAACATTATCTGATTTTTTAATATCCTCACTCACCATTTTTAAATCTAATATCTCCCTCATAGGACATCTATAAATTAATTTCTTTAAAATGTGAGTAAACGATATCGGACATTAAAATTAAGCCTAAATAGTTAGGCTTAACATTTTAATTGTAAAAGCATTAGGTAGCTAAGGTTACAGAAAAACAGTAGGAATATCCAAGAACAGTGTAAATTTAGAACTACTTTGATTGTGATGTAAACTTGTAAATGTTCGTGTGATTGAGTTTGTACTTGTCTTCAGTTTAATCATTTCAAGATTTGGTTGTCATTTTTACCAATACAACAAAAAACAATCAATTATGTAATTATTTATTCTTATTATACACATATTATAATCAAATTAACCCAGCACAAACAGGTAGAAGGTGAAAACTGTGGACCAGTCACTAAAAGTTTCTGTCAATGCCCAGGAAACTTTATTGAACACAATCTGTAAGTCGTAAATTTACTGAAAGAAGATTATATATATATAGAAAGAAACTTTAAAGCGCCTCCTTTCGGACTGGATCACAGATACAATAATTAGTAATGTATCACAACTGTTTTTTTTCTTTCTCTCCTTCCCTGTTATGGAGAGATTGAGGTTCTTTTAGATCAATGAAATACACAGAAATTATCTATATTAATCAGTTACAAATCATAACTCAAAACCAAATCTCTGATATATCCTTCACAACAAAGGTTACAAACCATTACTCAGAACGAAAGCTCCGATATACCCTTCGCAAAAATGGTTATAAAACATGAATTAGAACGAAATACCTGATATGTCATTCATACATCTATCAAGCCAACAGACTTTCCTACAATAAAGTTCCTCACAAAAAAAAAGAAACATTCTTCGGGTTAAGATTAAAAATCAAGAAACAAAACAGTGGAAATATTCCGGGTTTTTCAAGTCGTGTATGCCCCCTCTTTTTTATAAATAAGTCTCTAAAAAGTCTAAATATTCAAATAGAATCACAATCTATATTAAATTCACGTATAGTTAGAGTGGTCAGACATGTTAAAATTACTCTTTATATATGCAAAATATTTTTATACAGGAAACACACCCTTTCGGTCAGCTATTTAGTTTCTGTCGACTCTATTGTCCTGAAATTGGTATAAAAAAATCCCGCTATTTCTATGTATCTCAAAAGATACTACTTGAATAGCAACTACGATACTGACCTTTGGTCATTGACCTGTCTAGTCCTCCTTTTAAACTGTTTTCAATTCAACAAATGCAAAAATAGTTTTCGATGTAAAAACTGGTTTTAATTGTTTCAAACACCCAACTATATACATTAGAAAGTGGTAATATAGTAAAGAATTAAAAGAACTTTGCTTGTTTCAACTTCATCCACTGGGTAGAAATTAAACTGATCAACTAAGTATCACAGTTAAAAAATGACGGGTGAATTATTAAATTACAGAATGACTTTTGGTTCAAAGTACATAAAAGAACCACGAGCTCGTATATTTGTTTCTCATATTTCGGTAGTATAATTTTGAGCTCGATAATAAAAATGGAACAAAATATTTTGATGTAAAGTTAAGTTAGGATAACATTTTCCTTTGTCGTTTTTTTTTTACGAAACTGATAGCTTTCTTTGGGTTGATATTAAGTACTAAGTTCTGGTTATTATTATTATCTTCTGGTTCTGAACAATATTAACTCCCTGTCTATATAACGTATCCACACTCACACAGAGATATATATAAATGTATTTGATTTTGTTATTTACAAAACAACTCTGCTGGCAGAGAAAACGAAGAGGGCACAAATAGAAGACTTTGGAAGAAAAAAAAAGAGCTTGAAATCAACTGTTCTTTTGAAAACTTTGAAATCATTTTAAGAATGCTGAAAATTTATTACTGACAAACTAAACAGCTGGTTAAATACGAAGGCACAATTGACTGTCGTAACATTGTAAAATACTAAAAGAAGCCTGACATCTAGCGGCAAGTCTCCTAATGATATTAAATTCGACTAAAATATTGTGTTTAGTCATATTTTTTCACAGACACAATTAAAACCAAAGAAAGAAAAAATAAAACGTAATAGATAAGTTTTAAAACTTTAAAAGTTAGGTGTACTGAAAATAATAATATTATTTATGTTTCGTAAAATTATTATAAGTTCGTCAAAAGAGAACAATAATTTGAAATGTTTTTTTTTTTGTAGATTATCGTGTATCTAGATGGACACATGAATTTGTGGAAAACATAATATTTTTGGTCCACTTAAAATGCTGCCCTGAATATATCTGTACAACTCGCTTACGAAATTATTAAATATTCTACCACTAGAGGACACTAGTGCTAGAATTGACGGCAGTGGACTCTGTGACGCAACAAAAAGAAGAAAAAAAAAGTATATTATTCCCAAACAACAAAATATTTTTAAACGACTACAATTATATCAAATCTGACATTTCGTACACAAAAATGTCTCTTACAATTAGTCGCGAATTAAAAGCACATAACCTTCTTATATGATGACGTCATCATTAAGTAAATGATGACGTCATAATTTACTTAAAAGGTACGACTGCGGTCATCACAAAAATAAATAAATTTGTTTGGAATAGTTGTGAAGTAACAACGGAGAGTAAGTATCCTGATATATATATATATATAAAATACAGCATCGTTGATGCAGTCCAAAAATGAAAAGTATTGTGACTGTTATTTAACATTAAAACACAACTAAAAATATCAAGGCAAAATCTGTCCTTTTCCAAATACTTTAAATTGTTTTCGTTGCCTGGCTGACATTTTCACACTCACACACACCAGCATGTTTTCCCCTTGTTCAATTGTTGTTTGCTTTAAGCTCCTGAACAATCTATTTTTGTTGTTATAACATTTTGTAAACTCGTCCACCAAAAGCTAACACATTTCAGCTTCTTCAATCGTTGTTTGCTTTAGACTCCTGAACAATCTATTTCTTGTTGTTACGACGACATTTTGGACATTGGCTTACCAAAAATTAGAACATTTTATCGTTATAAACTATTGGTTCCATTAAACTCCTGAACAATCCATTTCATGTTGTTACGACGACATTTTGGACATTGGCTTACCAAAAATTAGAATATTTTATCGTTATAAACTATTGGTTCCATTAAACTCCTGAACAATCTACTTCCACTATGTTTTTCGGTACCTCAACAAACTGATACACCAGCCTCTGGCCATCTACCTTCGCCAGGATCCCTCTCTGGTAGTAGTACCTGAAAGTATTGTGTTTTACATTACAAACATGAATGTTCAGATACTCGATAATGTATTATGAATTGCTAATATATTGAGTTCTATAAGGATTGTTATTATTGGTATAATATATACATATTTTCATTCAGACACATTTTTTAACTTACTTTTTTTTTTATCTAACATACGATAGATATATAGTCTTTCCTGTCTCACGTACACATTCAACAAACCCTAAAATATTTAAGATGTGCGAAAAATTAAAACAAAAAAAAACGTTTTAAAATGTTTGAATAAGTTAAGTTTGGTAGAAAAATTTTTTATGTTATAATTTCAAACAGACGTGTGACAATTTAACTGCGGGAGATCGGGAGATTGGGTTAACAAGGCTGGAATACGTGACTAACACGAGAGTAGATATCATTATGGTGAGCATAAGTGGGCTATAAGGTTATGTGAAACTGTTTATTTACATGTTTTTAAAGTTTTATTATTTTAATTAGATGTAAGTTCAATCGTTTTATTGTTATTGGATTTTACATTGTTTGGAGAAACCAATCAACTCATTTTATTACTGTTGGATTTTACATTGTTTGGGGAAACCAATCACCCCATTTTATTATTGTCGGATGTCACTTCTTTTCCTGTCGGCGTAGAGCAGCGGCTTGTAATACTTTTCGTTTTGTGATTTTGTGGTTCTCGTAATGGAGGGGGGTAATACAAAAAAGGTGGTATATATTGTATTCAGTTAAGATTCAATGTTATCATACATGCAGGAAGTTTGACACTTTTAATAAGTTTAACAATAAACTCAGTTTTTAAATGCATTATACACTTTACTCTGAATGTTCAAATGATCCTGTACTGAAGTTGTTAATTATAATTATAATAGGAGGGTTCATAATTCTTACCTGAGAGCTCGTCCCATTGTTTCATAATTCATGTCTGGTTTGTTTTTATGTATACCCCACAGATTAGAAACGGCCTTCGAGTCGACCAGTTTAAAGATGCCCTTTTCTCTGTTCGTCCATTTTATGTAGCGCGGACAGTATTCTTTGTCTTGCAGCAGTTTAAGCAGAAATTCCCATAAATATGTCGTTGAACCTATATAATAAAAACAGTTATGTCATCGAACCTATCAATTTATAAATAATATGTCGTTGAACCTATATAATAAAAACAGTTATGTCATCGAACCTATATATTTATAAATAATATGTCGTTGAACTTATGTAATAAAAATAGTTATGTCATCGAACCAATCAATTTATAAATAATATGTCGTTGAACCTATATAATAAAAATAGTTATGTCATCGAACCTATCAATTTATAAATAATATGTCGTTGAACTTATGTAATAAAAATAGTTATGTCATCGAACCTATCAATTTATAAATAATATGTCGTTGAACCTATATAATAAAAATAAGGGTTATGTCGTTGAACCTATATAATAAAAATAGTTATGTCATCGAAGCTATCAATTTATAAATAATATGTCGTTGAACTTATGTAATAAAAATAGTTATGTCATCGAACCTATCAATTTATAAATAATATGTCGTTGAACGTATATAATAAAAATAAAGGTTATGTCGTCGAACCTATACATTCAGATAATATGTCGTCGAACCTGTGCATTCAGAAATAATATGTCATTAAACCTATATAATAAAAAATGATGTCATCGAACCTATATACTTATAAATAATATGTCGTTGAACCTATATAATAAAAATAAAGGTTATGTCGTCGAACCTATATAATAAAAAAATGATGTCATCGAACCAATATAATAAAAATAGTTATGTCATCGAACCTATATATCTATAAATAATATGTCGTTGAACCTATATAATCAGTAATAATATGTCGTTATCTTACGGTTTCAAATGCAAGCCTATAATTAAAAAAAGCAAATAATACATTCTCTTCCTTAAACACAAATAAAAGATATGATTTTCTACAACACGTTAGTCTTAATACAAGAGCATTCGTTTTAATCAATAAAAAAAGTCAAATAGTGATGAAAGTACTTTAAGTTTGTTAGTTTCTTTCTTTGGAATTAAGCACAATGGGCTATCTGTGCTCTGCCCACCACGGGTATCGAAACCCAGTTTCTAGCGTTGAAGTCCGCAGACGTACCGCTGCGCCACTGGGGGGCAAGTACCTTAATAGAATAGTAAATATCCATAGCAGAAACAAGCAGGTTGCTTTGGATACTTACACAATATCCCAGAAAAGTATATCAGTTAATCTTAATGTTCACCTGTTTCGGATTAACCTATAAGCGTACGAGAACGGTCCATAAGCACAATACTCGGGCTGGAAAAGCGTCCAACACGTTCTGGTGCTGAAAATTTAATGTATTCCATAGAGAGGAGACTTTTGTATCGCCTGGTATATATATATATACAGTCAAACATGGTATGTCAGGGTCTCTGAGAAGTTATTCGAGATATTCAAAATAGGACTTTAACCTTTAACCTTAGTTTCGATTCTTAATAAACGTAGAGTATTGGATATAATAACTGTAAATAATTGTATTGTTTCTCACGTTAACCATGTATTCGAGATACTGGCAAACTTCGACGTACTCAAGATTAGCATATCTAAGTGTCCTCCGCGGCGCGAACTCCGCAGATAGCCAATTGTATAGCTTTGTGCTTAAATATAAACAAATTAATCATAAGTTATATCCAAGTTCAACTTTACGTGTATATATATACATACGGAGTGGGTCAGAAGTGACTAAACATTTGTTTCATTTAGAACGTAGTTTAATTTCTAACTATTACTCTGAAACAAACAACATACTAACCAGACGCGTCGTTATGGTAATTAAAATATTCGGGGCTCGGGCCCATAGGCGTTTCGGTATGATATCGATCATGGTTTTTCTATTCTGATTTTTCAAGACATCAATTGGGGTTTCGGGGCACTATTAAATAGAATCGGGGCAAGTGTCCCGTGTGCCAGTGCCTAGAGATGCTCCTGAAAAGCTGAATGACAACTGTACGTGTGTATGTGTGTAGAGAGAGCGAGAATGTGTAAGAATGTACCTACTAAGGCTACGTGTAACTTTTT